ACACACACATGTATGGACATGAGGAAAATAATTGTATTACTAAACATTATTAAAAGAAGATATAAAATTATTTTTATCTGGTTTTATTAACAATAAATATACTTTTCGATGATTTTTCAAAAAAAGTTTTCAAAAAAAGTTTCAATGAAAAGTCAGATCTTATATAAGTGTATGGAGTAAATTTGTTGTTTTATAATAAATATGACGTATGTATAAAAGCAGGAGACGATTCATTTATAATGCGACGTTGCATGATAGGAATTTGCTTTCAAGACTAATCGTGAAATGGAAGATATCTCCGTGCAATTGAATTCGATGAATTTTGATTCATCATAAATACGTGAATAATTGATTTTAAAAGTGAGACGTAATGATCGCATGGACATAAGTACCTTTAGATCCAAAAATAGTTTATCGATCATTCAAGATAATTATTCACCGGTCATCATCTCCATGAACTCTGAAAAGTGAAAGAGGTACACTATGACTTATAGCGATCAGTTTTTATTCATTTATCGTCTTATTTTAAATTAATTGGGAATTTAATTATAATAAGCTTCCTTTATGCAAATATGTGTATTTACCTACATTATTAAACTGTAGTTTATTGTAGGAATTACGAAGATCATTTAATTTCTTATAAGAAATATGAATTAGTATGTAAGATTAAGATTTCAACTTCACGCTATAAATTATTAGAAAAATTAAAAATCTAATTTCGCATTTAATTTCTTTTCAATCTTTAATAATTCATCTGTTTGTTAGAGGGCTACATTATTTAATATTTCAGAATGTCACGGAATGTCACGTGCGAAATTCATCGATAATTAGAAATTGGAACGGACGTGCGATGTTGATGAATTGCTGCGATTTGTTAAGCATAAATATGGCGTATAAAAATAGGCAGAGTTGCGAGATCAGGAGATCCTCGATCTGCCAGCTCGATCCGCCCACATAAATAAACCATTTGACTCCTCTCTGTTCAACTTGCATGATGCTGACACATGTTAATTTTTCACACGGAAAAAATAGTTTGGTTGTACCAAAATTTAAAAATGAAAGAGTCAGAAATTCTTCTAATTGAAGTTGTCAGAATTCGGTTTAAAAAGAGATTTCTGATTAATTTAAACAGAAATCTAGTAATCAGAATTAATCAGAATTTCCGATTAGTTCTTTTTAAACAAAATTTTTTTACAGCTAACCAAACTATTTCTTCCAGTGCATGGGAATAAATCAATTCAACAGCTTTCCTTTTATAGATTTCATAACTGTGCATGATTGTCGATTGAAATTAAGATGAAAGTAAGATGACAGAATATTAAAAAGGAAAAAATT